CCAATGGACATGAGTTTCCAGATTGAAAAGAGTCACTACCATTTAGCAGGAAAGCTTTGGCTGGTCACTCACCTGCTCCCACCCCCTTCCTGGTTTAACGTGGTCATCTTAAAACTGTAGCAGCCACTCATACTCCCAGAGATGGAGCTGGGTCTCTGGCTCTAAAGGGAGCAGGGAACACTGTATACACAAAATACTGTATCTGTCTGTTCTAAGGTCTCTGGGAGCTGCCTGATAGACTGAAAGACATTGAACTCAGATACACTTTGACCTATCTTGGCACTCTACACTATTACATCTCAATATAAAGAAAACAAAAATCCTCACAATGGAACAAATTAGCAACATCATAAGTGGAGAGAAGACTGAAGTCCTCGATGATTTCCTTTTGCTTGGAACCACAGTGAATGCCCATGGAAGCAGTAGTCAAGAAATCAAATGATCCCCTGTAAAAGACCCCTTGAAAGTGTTTGAGAAGCAAAGACATCTCTTAGAAGACTGAGGTGCACCTAACCCAAGCCACGGTACTTTCAATAGCCTCATGTGCATGTGAGACCTGGACAATGAATAAGGAAGACTGCAGAAGAACTGATGCATTTGAATTGTGGTGTTAATGAAGAATCTTGAATGTACCATGGACTGCTGTAACAATGAACAAATCTGTCCTGGAGGAAGTACAGCCAGAATCCTCTTTAGAAGTGAGGATGGAGAGATTTTATCTGTCATACTTTGGTCATGTTGCCAGAAGGGACCAGTGCCTGGAGAAGGTTATGCTAGGTAAAGTAGAGGGTCAGTGAAAAAAGGGAAGACCCTCAACAAGATGGACTGACACAGTGGCTGTGAAAATGGGCTCAAGCATAGCAATTGTTGTGAGGATAGCATAGGACTGGGCAGTGTTCATTCTGTTGTATATGGGATCACTGTAAGTCAAAACCAATTCAGTGGCACTTAATGACAACATCCTAGCACTCGTGAAGGGTTGACAGGCAGCAGGCAACACTCAAAGGCCATAACTGCCTGTAGCCACTTAGGGCCAGAGTATAATACAATCAAGGCTTACCATAGGTGACTAAGATGAGGAGAAGTTGGCGGAGAAGTTTCTTTAGGAAAGTATGGCTTTCAGAAGCATTGTGCATACAGAGGAACTGAGGAAGCCACGCATATGCCTAGGGCAAGATGCCTGCTCCGATATTACCTAAGGAGACCCTTCATTTTTATCTTGGGCTGATCCCTAGGTCCAGTGCAAGCCTGGCTAAGTCCTGAGGGAGGGCCCAGCACAGAGCCAATTTTCAAAGACTGGGAGAAGGATTTTTGTTTGTTTACCCCTGACATTCAAGGATCTCAGTTAAAACACTAGCTAGACACAAGCTAAAGAACAAAGACTTCAATATGCATATGTGATAGCTAATGTTGTGTGTCAACTTGGCCTGGGTGGCTTAAACAGCTATGGTGTGGGCATTCCCATAATAAGATTTGATACAAGGCAGTCACCTCCATGGTGGGATATATGCTCTGAGCAGCCAATCAGTTAACATGGAGTTTCCTCAGGGGTGTGGCTTACTTCCAATATATATATATGGATATCCTGGGAAAATTCTGGAACTTTCTGTTGGATCTGATCCTGCATCTAGCTTACCATTACCTGGTTTTTGAAGCTGAACTGGTAGCCTGTCGTCTTGCCTGCTCATCTTGGAACTGTCACCTTTGCAGCCTGTGAGCCAACAATCCTCCATTTTAGCTGCCAATTTTAAATTCATCAGCAGCTGAAGTCACTGCCTGCTATACTGCCTGCCAGTCCTGGGTTTGTCAGCACCTGTAGCTGCCTATTAGCTCTGGTGGCATAGTGGCTAAGGCATTTGACTGCTAACCAGAAGGTTGGTGGTTCAAACCCACCAGCCACTCTGCGGAAGGAAGACTGGGCAATCTACTTCCGTAAAGATTTACCACCTCAGAAACCCAAAGGGGGTCGCTATGAGTAGAAATCCACTTGATGGCAGTGAGTTTGATTTGGGTTTCGTAGTTGCATGAGTCCGAAAAAGCCTCCAGCTTGACATTTGACCCGTGAACTTTCTAACCTCTTCAATGAAAGAAAATCAAGAAAAAGATGCATGAACAAAATGAAAGTATCAATAGAGAGACAAAATTATAAAAAGGAACCAAAAAGAAATACTGGAGTTGAAAAGCACAATAACTGAAAGGAAAAATTCACTGGAGGAGTTCAACAGCAGATTTGAGGTGACAAAGAAGCCACAAACTTGAAGGCAGGATAATTAAAATTATTGCATCTAAGGAACAAAAAGAAAAAGGAATGAAGAAAAAACTAAGCAAAGCTAAGAAACTTACGGAATACACATTATAGGAGCCTCAGTAGGAGAAGAGAGAAAAAGAAAGGAGCAGAAAGAATACTTGGAGAAATAATGACCAAAAACTTTCTGACATTGATGAGACAATAATCTACACATATAAGAAGCTCAATGAACTCCAAGTAGAATTAACCCAAAGATATCCACAATATGTTTATGTAAACCTTTTAAAACCATGTTTATGTACAATTTTGACAAGGCCTAAAATTGAATAAATGTGTGTAAATACATATATGTATATATATATTTCCTAAATATATATTTTTCTAGAGAAAAAAATCTATAATGCTAACTTGAAATGCTGCCCACAAAGTATTAAAGTATTAAGTTACACAAAGGACATGGTATAACCATAAATACAGTAAAATTCCATTTTAAAAATTAATAATAATAATTATGAACATATACAATACATATTGAAAGTAATTGGAAAGCCTCACCTATAATACATGTTTCTATAACATTGGTATATTGTATAACAAACATGTATCATCTATTTACCTGCCAAAATAGTTATAATAATCAGTGACAACAGAGAAGAAGAGAGATGTCCCCTATGCTGGTGAGCTGACAGAGTCCATCAGACTGAAATGCCTGTAAAAATAAGTTTCTTGCCAAGAGCTATTATGGTACTAACCCTTTGCTTTGAATGAAATCAACCCCTGGCCACAGTTTATTTAATTAGCTTCAATGCACAAACTAATACAACCATATACAGACCAATCATCACCCTAGCCAGGTAGCTAAGCACATCTCATGACTCGTGGGAACTCGGTACAGTCAGATGGAGGTCATGTAGAGTAAAAGCAAACCAATCAATTGTATCTCTCTTTGAGGATGTTTAATGCTAGGTACACAAAGAGAAGACAGGTCATTTCAGTTCAGGTATCCAAATGTCTTGTCAAGCCTATACTACCTAGTGTCAACTAGGTCCCAGAGTGACTCCTCTAAGGCTGACCGAACAACTTCATTCTAAAGTATCCTTCATTAAAGCTACACAAACAAACAACAAACAAAAGAGCCATCACTAGTTCAAGAAAGGCAGGTGTTCCAGGGCCACTGACTGTATCACCTTCCCCTCACATACAGGCAAAAGTGATGAAAGAATAGTTAGGAGCCAAATGAAAGAGGTACGTAACTTCAAACTAACTGCAAGTCAGGATAACAAAATAAGCACCACTCATCATTTTATTTATTTTCCTCTCCTTTATTTCTTGGTTCTTTCACACCATCAAGGTCTGTACAAGAAAGAGAAAGTAAATAAAACTCAATGAAACATAATGTTTCTGTGAAAGAGGAAATGGTTAAAACCAAAATCAGGAAGAGATTATTTCTGAGTGATTTTAACTTAAGCCAGTAAAATAAGTAGTAAGAGTCATTCTACTGACCTCTCCTATGTGACTCATTTGTAAATCTATCACCAGATATTATATAATAATGGAACAACCCCAGAATGATATGATAAAAGATTATGACTAATTAAACTTTTTAAATAAACTATAACATAAATCATGATGAAATAAAACCAACAAACCAAACTCACTGCCATTGAGTTGATTCTGATTCATTGCGGCCCCCGTTGGTTTTCTGAGGTGGTAAATCTTTACAGAAGTAGACTGCCCAGGTTCCTTCCATGGAGTGGCTGGTGGGTTTGAACCACCAACCTTCTGGTTAGCATTTAAATGCCACCAGAGCTCCTTGATGATGTAATAAAGATAGAATCATTTTCTTCCTCCACTTACTAGTTGTTACACAGTGAAGAGCATTTTCCTGGTGCTTAGAATTCAGCGCCTCTATGGAAATCACGAGTTGTCCTTCTAGCAACACTCCCTTTGATATTCCTGCTGTTTCACATTTCCAGTGAATAATTAAATATCTCAAAATCTATAAAGGGCACAATGCAAAGAAAACATAATCTTCTTGAGAAATCAAGGTGATAATAAATGTGTGATACAATTAAATTAATAAGTAATTTTTCAAAAAATATGGTTATTACTGCTTGTAAAATGTCAGATTTACATTTGTTCAGAGCAGAGCATTGTGTCTAAACAGAAGAAATAGCTAGAGATGTGACATAAGAAAGGAGACCGCAGAATTTCACACAATGCCCAACAAGACAGGAAATGAAGACAATAAATTGACTTACTCAAAGGATAAGTTCATCTGGAAATAATAATTATGGAAAAATTAAGTGGGAGTTTGTTTGCTCTGTTTGTTTTTTCTCCCTAAATAAAAGCCAACATGAGGACGATGAACAACAGTGACAATTGGTTATGAATCATTTTACTTTCCATTAAATCAACAGAGTTTAGAGTCTGAATACCAGTTAAGAATGATGGCTCTGGAGGTAGGTGCCTGGGTTTGAATCCCTGCTGTGCCAAATTCTAGCCTGTGACTTTGGGCAAGTTACTTAATCTCTCTGTACCTCAGTCTTGTCATCTATAAAAATGGAGAAAAATCTACCACGTATAACTGGTGTTGAAAGTAAACAAAATATGTGCAAAATGCTCAATACAGTGCCTAACATATAGCAAACACTTGATACATATTAGCTATTCCTAGTAAGTTCATCTGCAGTAATGACTGCACACAATATTTTAAGTTGAACAAGTCTCCAAGATGTCTAGATAAAATATTCAATCTAGATAGAAAAAATTTAAAATAAAACAAAATTATATTTAATTCCCATTAGTATTCATGGAACAAAGTAAACTCTCACTTCCACACTAAGGCACCACAAAGAAAATTATTAACATTTTTTTTTTTTAAGTACGGAAATCTGAGTAAGAGAATTTGGGAATTAAGATCCTAGTTTGTACCAGAGTTTGTAAGGATGGCTGGCAAGCTTTCTACATATAACAGTATTTCTACAGCATAACATGTTCCTTCATACACCTTTCTGCCTTCCTGTGCTCCCTCTGTTGAGATTTCCCTGTAGTTTCTTTATCCGTAAACAGACAGCACTGACCTGTGAGTCAGAAGCCCCGGGTTCTAGCCCACATCTGTCATCTGGAGAAGTCTAATCCTCCAACTTTTATGATAGCAAAGACGGAAGGAAGATTGGAAAGTCTCAAAGGTGCCGTCAGAGCCTGTGATTCTATTTCATCTGCCCAGTATCCCTTGTAGACCAACAGCTAAGAATTCAACTTGGTAAGGGGTGTGAAAGGGACTCTGGTGCTGCGATGATTAAGTGCTCAACTGCTAGCCAAAATGTTAGTGGATGAAATCCACCCAGAAACTCATGGGAGAAAGACCTGTCAATCTGCTCCCTAAGAATTACAGCCAAGAAAACCTGATGGAGTAGTTCTACTCTATCACATGGGGACACTATGAGTTGCAATCAACTCCAGGGCACCCAACAATGATGACTGTCAAAGTGTTGTCATGGATTGCACAAAGGTGACAGTCAGTGACAGGTGTTTCCAGTGTCACCTTCCAGAGCAGAGATCTCTGGTCAAAGGTGGGTGAGGCCTCTGAACCTGACTCTTTGATAAGCCAGGTGCTCCAGAACCAGAGTCTAGACCAAGAACTCTGCACTTGGTTGACCCAAAGGCCTAAAAGAATTTTCCCTCATTCCCATTTTGCACTGGTCAGTCCATCCTTGGTTGAACTTTTCTCTGGGTCCAATTTTCCCAAATGACTGTCCATCTCCTTCCCTTCTTCTGGTGTCCTCTCCCAGCAAGGGGTGGGGGGATGGGGGATGGGGGATGGGGGGATGGGGAGGTAGTGGGGTGGGATCTGGTCGCATCAACCTCCTCAAGCTGGCCTCCTGACTCTAACCCTAAGTATCAGCTGACGTCTGAGTTTATTTTCTCAGCTGAAAGTGGGGGTGGTGTCACTTACTCCTGGCGTGAGCTAAGGCACCTGACGCTCAGGCATGGCCACTCCCCTCAACCGAGGTCCTGGAGAGCTTTACTTCCCAACGCGCTTCAGTGCACCCGGGCCTACTGTTTCTCACCACCAGTGAGGCAGGCTGATTTTCACCGGGCCACGTCATTCCCCACCTCAGGCCACGCCAGACCCCTCTGCCCAAACTTTGCGGTCTCCTCACAAAGCCCATCTCCTCATAAAGTCTCCTTCTCCACTTTCTCTCCCTTCCGGGCATCACCTCGCAGACGGCCACGGATATCCCCTCCATTGAGCGCGGGAACCAGCAGCAACACCGCGTGAGAGCTGACCACCCCTGGCCGCCACCCGGGCGTTTCTGGCCTCGACCTCCGCCCGAACCCAACCACGCCAGGTTGCTCCTTCCCGCCCGCCCTCGCACGCCCCGCCCACCTGCTCACTGCGCCTGCGCGCTCAGCGAAGCCCCGCCCCTAGGCCTTGAGGGCAGCTGGTGCGGTTTGCAGACTTGTCACAGGGCGGGGTAGAGGTCGCCTCGCAGCGAGCGGTGATGGAGGCCTTAGGAACGAAGCCACAACTCCTCCTGCCGCCCGAAAACGCCTCTCCCACTGTCCCGCCAGATGCAGCCCTCATTTATGCTGAAAGCGCTTTGGCTGCCCTCAGCGCCTTCAAAGGCCTTTCCCTCTGCCTGGAGAAGCTTCTTCTGTGGAATTCCGCAACTGGTTCTTGGCCCCCTAACAGCCTCACCTCCTGCTGGACTCCGGAGTACCTTAAACCAATCCCTGATTCCCAGATTTAGCACATGGAAATGCAGAACACACAGCTAAAATTTGAATTTCAGACAAAACAAAAAATTATCTTTTTAAGTATGTCCCATTCAATATTGGGGGTATACGTCAATACTCGTTCATCTGAAATTCAAAACTAGGTGTCCTTTATTTCATCTGCCAACCCATCCCAAGCATCCTTCTGGCCTAATCCCAGAGGGCCCAGCCCGCTTCTCCCCACATTTGCCTCTGCACTAAAAGTGCCAACTGTGGGAGCTGGCTTTCCCAGGCTCTGGGTTTTCCTGGAGTTCTCAGCCAGGAGACCCAGCTTCTGACTCCTGCTGGTTCAGGGAGGGGCATGGTGAGAGGGCTTTGAGCAAAGTAAACGTGGACTTTCTTGTGCTTACTTACTAGTGAACAATTTCACATTTTTTCACCACATCAAAGATTCTCCTTCCAGGATGGTTGGCATCTGTCTCCCAGTCCCACAGCATTTCCCTACAGAATCAAAACCTCTTCTCATATTTATAATCCCTGACAGGGATGGAGTACCCAGTAAGCAAGGTAAAACTGGGGCAAGTAAGCCCGTCCTTACCTTTGCTTACTGGGTGATCTGCCCCTGCCTTGAGCCCATAACTGTTGATGATGATCTTGCAGCTGTTTCCTCAAATAGCCAAAATAAAACCATGGTGAGAGAGGTTTCTGTTTGGCACAGAATTGACCAAGGAGAAGGGTGGGATAGGGTGGTGGCTGCTTTCCTTGGGGAAAGATTCTTCCACCCCAGCTCCAAGGAGCCAGGATTGGACAGAACAGGCTGGGAAGCTGGCAGAGTGCCTGTCCAGGACATGACCTTGGTACTACTGCAAATGACATGTCAATTGGGACCTGAATCATATTCTTTTCGAGTCGGTGCCCAGTGCTGATGTCCCCCTCTCCACCTGTGTTACTTGCAGTAGACCTGTTGGAGGAAGACAGGCTCCATTTCTGGAAAATTCATCACACTACCATCTCAGACTTGATCAGAGCACTGGCGTTTGGGGAATCATTGCAGCCTTCCTGTCCCTGTCACTCTGTGTTGAGTGTCCCTTTTAGAAAGCAGAGCTGCCAAGGGGAAGGGAGCTAATATGTGATTGAATGATAGCATGTTGTTTTACACCGCTGTCTCTTGACATGAACTTTTTCACCCTCATAACTGTGTACACTTTACTATTTGGTTGGTGAGAAATGAAAATACGGAGGATGGCTCTTGAAAATACTCCCATTGAGAGTGTTGGCTCAGCAGAAAATGCCCTGCCTTGAGATGGCACTGGGAATGAGGGTGGAGGCACAGTTGCCACTGGAGAAGCACTTCAGATGAGCCGGTTGTCCTGATGGCTGCCCTTGTCCTTGAAGTGAGCCTCAGGGATGAAGGTGAGTGCAACACCCAATACCATCCTAGAGGCAGAATCCACTGCCATCAAGCTGATTCTGGACAGAGTAGGACTGCCCCATAGGGTTTCCAAGCTGTGAGTCTTTACAGAAACAACTGCCTCATCAGTCTCCCACAGAGCAGCTGATGGGTTTGAACTGACGACCTTTTTTGATTAACAGCCCAATGCTTTAACCACAGTGCCACCAGAGCTACTTCCTCCTCAAGGCAGGTGAGGCCTAATAAAGATAGCTAGGACACAGCCACCCTCACTATATATAGGATGTAGGCACAAGTGAGAAAGTGACCATTTGATGTGAAGACATGTGTTGTAGGTTGGACTGTGTCCTCCCAAAATGTGTGTTGCAAATTCTAACCCTCTACCTATAGGGTCACTGTGAGTTGGAATTGACTTGACAGCAATGAATTTGGTTTTGTTATTATTGTTATCCCTATGGATATGATCCCGTTTGGGAATAGGGCTTTCTTTGCTATGTGAATGAGGCCATATCAGTGTAAGGGGTATCTTAAGCCAATCACTTTTGAGATATAAAAGGAACAGAAGTAAGAAGTACAAATGGAGAAAGACTGATGTCACGTGGGAATCACCAATGAGCCAAGCAAGAAAAACTGAAGCGTCAGATTCTTCCCCAGAGTACGCAGAGAGCAGTGAGTTACTATGAGTCAGAATCCACTCGATGGCAGTGGGTTTGGGCAGAGAGAGACTTCTCCTGGAGTCGATGACCTGAACTTGGCCTCCTAGCTTCCTAAACTGTGAGAAAATAAATTTCTGTTCTTTAGAATTATCTGTGTGGTATTTCTCTTACAGCAGCACTAACAAAGGCGCTCTATCATCAGCACTTTCAGAACATAAACCCTTGTTGTCCTGTGTTGTGCCTTCACGGCCCACTGGAGCCAATTGTCAGGCAGGGTTTGATGCAGGCTTCACATTTGGTGAGCATTCGCTGTGTGCTGAATGCTCCTCACGTTGTATTATTTATCCTCAGTAATCCTCCCAATCTTGTAAGGAAAGTGTTGTACCCTTATTTTGTGAATGATGGAAATGAAGTTCCCAGAGGAGGTTGCATGGCCCTCAGTTTATGAATTCAGAATCTGAATTGAGATCTTTTAACCCTTTCTTCTGCCCTCCAATGCAGGCTGTCTCCCACCTGCCTGTGACCTGCCTATCTGTCTCAAGTTTCCGTAATATGGGAGCATTAACCTGACCATCCGAAGCCAACCCCTCCGTGTAAAAGCCAAGGAGTCAGTGAACTCAGGCAACCTCATCTACCACAAACTAAGGTATCAAAGAGCCACAGCTCACAACCCTTCTTTCACCCCTCAGTGTGTGTCTCCACCCTGTTTGGGATCTAGTGACTAATATACTGTGGACTCTATGTTGTTAAAACTGTTTTTACTCAGACCTCATTCTCAGAGCAATGGAATGTAGAAGCCAGAAGGACAGTGGCAGTCATTAGACTCAATCCTGTTATCATCAATAGATGAGAAGATTGGAGGGCCCCGAGCAATTATATGCCTTGCCCCGTGTTGAGAGCTACCAAGCCAACCAAGAAGCCTTTGAACGTTGGTCTAGATGTTTTCAACCCAGGCCTTCAGGGTCTTAGTGACTGTGTGTTCAGGGGCCAGTTCTCTCCAGTCTTAGACTTGGTGGTGCGTTAACTCTGTTATCATTCCTCTCCCCACCCCAGGACTTGGATGACTCCTTTGTGCTTGCTTTGAACATCCTGCTTATTCAGAGAAGACATCCCCCGGAACAGACCCCAGATTCCATGCTCCAGGTGGAGAGCCCTCAAGATAATCTGAGATACATGGCCTCATTTCCAAAGGGAGAGTGAGCCCCAAAAGATTGATTGTCTTTTTTATTGTGGTAAAAAATGCATATAGCAAAACATTTGCCAGCTCAACAATTTTTACATGTATAATTCAGCATCATTGATTGTGTTCACCATCCATGTTGTGTTACCATTACCACTATCCTTCTTTAAATTATTCCACCACCGTTGACAGAAATTCAGTGCCTCTAAGCACTCCTTTTCCCCATCCATCTACCCCTGGTAGCCACTAATAAGCTTTGGTCTCTGTACATTGGCCTATTTCATATGAATGGAATCATATGGTATTTGCCCATTGTGACTCACTTATTTTACTCAGCATAATGTTTTCTAGGTTTCTCCATGTTGTAGCATCTATCAGGACTTCATTACTCTTTATGACTGAGTAATATTCCACTGTATTAGGGACCACATTTTGTTTATGCTCCATCTGTTCATGGACATTAGGTTGGTGCCACTTTTTTGGCTATTGTGAATAGTGCTGCAGTGAACATTGGCGTACAGTTTCTGTTTGCATTCCTGCTTATAATTTTTTGGAATGTGTACCCCAGACTAATTCTGGCCCAAATCCAAGGATTTGAATGAAACCAGAACGCCTTCGGGAATGCTGCCAGTTGACAGTGACATTTTAGGGACTGTTGAATTTTCTTTCCCTTTTGAGTGTGCCCTTTCTATGTGTATCATTCCTAGACACTTCTTAAAAAACAAAAAACCTCACTGCCCTCAAGTCAAGTGTGACTTACAGTGACTTCCCTTGGGTTTCCAAGGCTGTAAATCTTTATGGAAGCAGACCATCTCATCTTTCTTCCCCCAGAGCTGCTGGTGGGTTCAAACCACCAACCTTTTGGTTAGCAGCCAAATGCCTTAACCACTACACCATCAGAACTCCTTAGACACTTCTTAGGCCCCACCTTCTTCTCAGACTCCCCTAGGACATTTGAAGGCCCTAGGAGTTTAGGTAGAAAATATTTTTGCCATCTCCCTAGCTGAGTCTGTTTGAGGAGAATCTTTCCTGGGGAGGAAAGAATCAGGCAGCTCCTAAAAGACACTCTTCCCAGTTTTTACTGCTCTGTCCTGGGGTCTTTCCTATGGATAGTCCCCTGGACAATGAATGATGGACCTTGTGGAAAAAATGGTAAAGAAATGGTGATGGTCTGCTCATTAGCCAGACACTGGTAGTAGACTCACTTGAAAGAATGAAAGGGGAGGGGCAGAAAGGTCACCCTCTGACATATTTGGATGTCCATTCTCTAGGTGGTACACAGAA